ACAGCAACAGGTCTCCAGTATCTATCCTGCCTGATTTGTGAATAAATAAGAGAAATTGCTATGTATTTTGACTATCATCTTTGGTCATAATCTAATAATGTAATAAATAACCTAACAATGTAATGTCATTACTATGTGACATCGAATCAGAATGTCTCACAGCTGACCACCCAGTGGGTGTTCAGAGGCAGTAAATCACACTGGAGAAGACTGGTCATCTTTTTATCATGGAGCAGCTGGTGGATTCGAACCACATGCTTTGGTTTGGCAGTCCATCTCCTTACCCACCAGATCTCTGAAGAATACTAACAATGTAATAAATGACCCAAATTATCACTCAAGGACGACCGAATCATTACACTATTTCCATGAAAACATAAGTCAACACGAAAAAAAAATCAATTAAAAGTACAGAAGATAACGAGAATTTGAAAAGTGCTTTAAATGAACTGTAGAAAGAAATTACATTTATCCTAATTGATGGAAAGTTAATAGACACCACAGATAGAATTCAAAATTACAATTGATTGACTGATTGAAATTATAGAAATTAATAAATCCTAAAAGTGGACCAAAAAGATATTTATCCCAAATGTTTAATTTTATTAAAGGAAAATAAACTTTAGACTAAAAAAAATCTTTTTATGATCTCCCAATTAGATCATTAGTTTTGGTGCTTAATTTTGTTTTTACTAACACGGCATAGTTCATAGGGAGCTGTGTGGCTAACATAAAGGCAGTTTGAACCCACCAGCAGCTCTGCAGGAACAAGATGAAAAATCTCCCTTGGAATTTACAGCCCCAGATAACCACAGGGGAATCAGCTCTGAGTTGATTTCCATTTAACAGCAGTGATTTTTTATGTTGACTTTTATTCAATTCTAGCCAATTTGTGTCATCTGAAACTCTGAGAAACTGAATAGAATTCAAGAATTTTTGAATAAATGAGGAAGACGCATAAAAATGATGAGATGGTCTTTTGGTACTCCAATCAGTGACAAGTACTTCAACATTGACAAGCTTAATCATATCACTGAAGCAAACAGCATAAATGATTTAAGAAGAAAATATCAAATTATCAATCAAAGATTTTAAAACAATATGCATGCAGAACAAACTCTAAAATGTGAAACTCTTAGCTATATGAAACACGTAGTATAATAAAACAGTGCAATGGATATATAATTGCATTATGTCAAAAGTCAAACCCCCCAAAAAGTTTTAATCTATTTCACAATAGATTTATAGAATTCCTTGACAATGGGATCTTTCACTTTATTGAAAGTGGCTGGGAGATTTAGAAAAAAGTTTCAAGTAGAACAAAGGATCAAAGGTTCAAATGATTCAGTTAAGTACCCATGGGGTTTCATATATTGAATAAGAATGTGCTTAGAGTTTATATGACTTCAAATGTAAACTCATTGCTATGCAGTCAGAACCAACTCCCAGCTGACCCTCCAGCTGACTTTCAGAAGCTGAATACTACATGGGAGAAGATTACCCATATTCTTCCACAGAACAGCAGGTAGATTCAAGCCACCTGCTTTTAATCTAGCAGCCCAACTCCTTACTCACTGTTGTTGTTGTTATTGACTGCCACCGAGTTGAGCACGACTCATAATGACCCCATGAACACAAGGCCTGAAGTCCCTTCATAGCCATCTTCATTTATCAAAGTTCACAGAGTTTCCAGAGGCATGTTGTTTAGGAAGTGGATGCCACTCCTGCTTCCAACTAGCAACCCATTATATCTTAGCTAAATGCTACTTATAAAACCAGGATTAACATCACAATTCCATTCTAAAAGAGGAGTGATTAAAATAATTTACCCTCTTTGATTACAGTTTAGACAGACTGATCTTATTCCAATTTCTGCATCACTCAAAAAAAAGTACATTTTTATTCCCTTCAATTTCAAATATGTACCTGAAATAATGACCACAGCAAAAGCGGCAAATCCGGTGTCATCCCTTCCAGTCACAATCTGTGCTCCCCCTTGAGGATCTGTAAGAAATACGTAGAAGAATTCCTGTCCTTCGGGCTCATCATCATCCAAAATGTGGACCAACACTTTCCTTTCTCTTTCTCCATCTAGAAATGTAAGGAGAAGAGTCTGTTCTTGAAAGTCTTCTTCTTCTTTTGCCCAAGTTAGGTTGGAAATTCCATAGACGTCATGAAAAGGCCACGCGTTTGGTTCCTCTAGAACACATCTTTCTCCAAAGGTTTTAACAGTTACACTGACGTTGCCCATAAACCCACCAGTTCTTCGGATAAGAACCTCAGCAGTACTGAGTGTGCCATTCTTCATCTCCTCTTCAGCGTAAACAACAGGTGGCCCCAGACTAAAGGTCCCATGAATAGAAACATCCGCAGCCGGCACAGTGTCCTCAGCAGGCTTCTCCGACATGGTGGATGTCTCAGGAATGGTGACAAGTTTCTCAGGCAAGGCATATGTACTAGTAGTTGCCTCAGTCACCACGGGGACCGTTTCGGTTGGCTGTGGAATGGCTGTTATCTCTGCTCCGTCAGGGTATGTAGTCGAGTCAGTTTTCACAGGGATGAGAGCTGTGTCAACTGCCCCAGCCACCGTTGTCATAGGGAGAGGAGCATCTGTTTCTACCATGGCATCATTATCCAGTATTGTAATCACTGCAACACTAAAGTCTAAATTTAATCGTGGTCTCCAATTAGCATCAAACTTTTTTAGTCCTCTAATTTCCACTGAAGTTAGATTAATATAAAAATGTTCCTCTACCTCAGGAAGGTGATCATTAATAATGGTTATTTCAAAGTCAACCTCAACTTGGAATTTTTTAAAAAGCAGCTCCCCGTGGTGAACAGGTTCAAAGTCTTCCAGAGGCTTTGCACTTCCTCCAGTGGTTTGATAGAAAACCTTAATAAGATCACTGTGGAACCCAAACAGTCTCTGTACATGTAATGTGATTGTGTGTGCATCCTCCGACACTATGACACTTCTTGAGCTGGGGGAAAACTGAAAGACTCCCATTGGTTCAATCTCAGCAACTGTGAAACCAGATCTGGAAAAAAAAATCCCCCCAAAAACCAACAATTAAACTGTGAAATAACTTATAAAAAAATAGAAATACTACTGTAAATATTTACTTTTCACACATTTAAGATGTTGCCCATGAGGGCAGCACCTTAATAATTACATGCCTTTTCAAGTACCACATGCTACAACATATTCATGATCAGACCAGTGCACAGGAAATGTTAAGAATGGGAGCTGCTATAGAGGGTGATGTGACCTAACAAAGCTTGTTGCTGTGTTGCCATTAAGTCAGAACCTATCCAAAACTGTCCCTTCAGTGAGTTTCCCGAGGCTGTAAATTGCACATAAGAGTGCCCATTGTTCTCCCACAGAGTACCTGATGGGTTCAAACCACATGCCTTTGGTATTACAGCAAAGCTTCTTACCACTAGACCATCAGAGCTCCCTTTCACAAGGCTTAGCTAAGTATCCAGGACTCTAGTCGGCTTCTTCAGTCAGCCTGGAACTGCTCTCTGAAGGATCTGAAACACCAGGCTTGCCTCATTAATAGTACATAGGGAACCAGATATGCTGTGACGCTCTTGACTTTACTCAAGTAGAAATTATTGCTCCTACTAAGAACAACATCCAAAGAGCAAAATGCTGGTTTCCACTATTCAACCAGTGATGGAACCATTCCCTCATACAAAGGTAGCTAAACTTTATTTACAAATTGGAATATTTATGATTTAATTATTTAATGTTTAACTTTTTTAATATGAACTTGTGCTGTGGCCTACTAGAGGTTATTATTAGTGTCTCAATATGTTCAAAGATATATTTTCTTTGCTAACAGCATATTTTCCTTAATTTGAATGCCTTGGAGAGCATTATAGCTCCAACATTCCCAGTTGTCAAACACCCATCATGTAACACAAAGCATACTGTTTAAGAGCACAGATGATGACCAAAATAGTTTGGGTCCAAATAGTGACTCTACATGCTATTTATTATGTATATCACATTGGATTTATTATAATCTCCTTGTTTCAACTTCTTCATTTAAAAATTAAGACTAATGACAGAGATTGAAATTGTTAACAACTTTATTTTGCTTGCCTCCACAATCAACACTCTTGGCACCAGCAGCCAAAATATTAAAAGACAAATCACACTGGGAAGTCTGCTGTCAGAGATCTCTCTAAAGTACTAAAGAGCAATGATTTCAGTCTGGAAACTAAGGGGTGCCTGATACTGGCCATGGTCTTTGCAATCACTTTCTATGAATCAGAGAACTGGACAATGACTAGGAAGGATAGAAGGAGAATTGAGGCCTTTGAGCTATGGTGTTGGAGAAGAGTATTGAATACACCATGGATTGCTAAGGGAACAAGCTGGTTCATCAAAGAGAGGGTAAAACCAGACTGCTCCCTGGAGGCAAGGATTCTGTAGCTTTGCCTGACATACTTTGGACATGTTGCAAGGAGGAATCAGTCCTTGGAGAGGTAAAGGGACAGCGCAAGAGAGGAAGACCCTCTCTATGAGGTGGATTGATTCAGTGACTGGGGTAAGTGTGTCAGAGACAGTGAGATTGGCACAGGATAGAGCAGGATTTAGGGCTGTTGTACATAGCGTCACTATGAGTCACAGGTGACTCAAAGGCACACAACAACAACAATAGCAGTATCTATAGGGAGTTCTGGTAGTCTAGTGGCAAAAAGCTGCACTGCAATCCCAAAGGCACATGGTTCAAGGTCACCAGCTGCTCTGTGGGAGAAGGAGGAACAATCTCCTCCCAGGAGATTAATTGCCTTTTACAACCCCTCGGAGGGTCAACTATAGGTCTGTTCCAACTGTATGGTACACAACAACAAGAGTATGTACCTCATAACATAGTTGTTATAAAGAGTACACGTTTATTAAAACCATGTCTGGTTTTAAGTTATCATTACTGAAATTAAAGGCACTTGTTAGTAAATCTTTTTAAAATGACACATGTATAATATAAAATCATTTTTTATGCTGCCGACTCATATATCTCACTTAGGAACATGAATACATAAACAAATGCTGGTTTGGACCATGCATTTCCTGTATTTTACAAGCAAGTAAATAAATAAATACACAGAAAAATCAAGTGGCATTACACAAGTGGTTACACAGTAACTAAATGGTAAGAGTTAGGACTAAATTTACAAGTCTGTCTCTTAATCTTGTCTTCCTCTCTTCAAGCAAAGTTATGTCATAAAAGGAAAGGTGAGAAAAAAATCTTTGCCAATTATTTTCTAAATTTGTGTCCATTTTCCAGCAAAGAATATTGAATATACCATGGACAGTCAAGAGAGTAAATAACTCAGTTTCAGAAGAAGTGAAGTCAAAGTAGTTCTCATTAGAAGCAATGAATAATGGGACTTTATCTCACATACTACAGGCTTGTTTTCAGAAGGTGCCAGTTCTTTGAAAAAAAGATGGCATGCTCAGAAAAGCAGAGTCAGTGAAAGAGAAGTACATCCTCAAGGACACGGATGGACACAGTGACTTCAACAATGGACCGAAGCACAGTGCAGACAGTAAGGATGGTGTAGGACGTCTGCACCATGAAGGGACTCCCCAGTAACTCCATAAACAGGCTTGGAAGCAGAGTGGCATCCACTTCTCAAATAGCTTGCCTCCAGAAACTCTATGAACTTAGAAAAACGATGCAAGTCATGTGTGTTCAGGACATTCGTCCCTACGAGTCGTCTATGACTCGGCAGCACTTAACAACAACAACAACAGTCCTCTTGAGTCAAGGCAAAGATAAACTCTCTTGAAGGTCAGCAGTAGATAGGATTTATTTTTATTATTATTATTATTATTATTATTATTAAATTTTTTATTAATTTCAATGTATTATTCATTTTAATGAACATTTACAGAGATTTTGGATTTCCATTCATTCATTATTGCATTTTTCTCCCTGCCCCCGCCCCCAGTTGGCTCTTCTCTTTGAAAAGTAAAAAACAAAATTTCTTTGTTATGCAATGTCCCTCCGCCCCCCCTCCCCCAGCCCAAGTCCACTCCACTATGATTCTTAAAAGTCATCCGCTCAGTGGTGTCTCCACTGTGTTTCTGGTGTGAATGTCAAAGTTGCTGACCTCTGTTCTCCCTTATACCATCACTTTTGCACTTACCGCAAGGAACGTGAACTTTATGCCTTTTCCAGTCGTGACAAGTACATTACAGACAACATAATTCTCGGGGAATTTGTTAGTGGAGAATCTTGTTTCTCTTACCGAAGCTGAGCTCCACCTTGTACACTGCTATGCACTCCTGACAGGTGAATGGCAAAAGCCTCTGGTAGACCAGGGTTTGGAAATGTCCACAGCACAACTCCTTTACTGTGTTCACCATGAGAAAAAGAAAGGCTTCCTGAGGAGATGGGGGAGGGATGGGGGGAACAAAGAAAAAACCCCATGAAGAACAAAGGAGGGTAACACGCTAAGTCTTATATTAGGATCCAGTCTTAAAAACATAGTGAAATAGTTTCTCTTCCAATCCACAACAGATAAAAGTATGATTGAATCTGGGGAGCTTTGGTGGCCTAGTGGCAAGGAGCTGCAACTACAATCCCAGAGGTGCATGGTTCAAATTCACCAGATGCTCTGCCGGGGAAGGAGGGACAATCTCCTTCTGTACCAGTCAGATCTGATTTGATGGTACACTCACACAAAAATAATAAATTTTTTTTAAAAAAAGTATGATTGAATCTGAGAAGAGCATTTGGAGTAAAGACAAGGGAAAGTAAACTTTGCTCTCTAGACAAAATAAATCAAACCATTAATCCCTGTGTGCTGTCATCAATTTTATTTAAATTAAAAAATTTAGTAGTGGAAAGAGAATAGTGTTAGACAAGCATTGATCTGAATTTTGTGTTGGATGGGTTGGAACCAACATTTATTTTAAGATGTAACACGCGATAGGCATCCTGAAGTAGTTTAGTATGATGTATCTTAATACATTATTTTACTTTAAATTGTTGTTATGAGTCATCAAGTTGCTTGTGACTCATAGCGACCCTACATACAATAGCCCTAAACCCATGCTCTACGCTGTGCCAACCTCACGGTCTCAGACACACCTACTCCCACTACCCCAACCACTGAATCGATCCATCTTATTGTCCCTCCACCCTCCCAAAGATGACGTCCCTCTCCAAGGACTGTTCTCTCCTTGCAACATGTCCAAAGTATGTCAGATGAAGCTTCAGAATCCTTGCCTCCAAGCAACAGCCTGGTTTTACCCTCTCCAGGATGAACCTGTTTCTTCTCCTAGTAGTCCATGGTATATTCCACACTCTTCTCCAGCATCACAATACAAAGGCATCAATTCTCTTTATATCATCCCTAGTCACTGACCAGCTATCCAACACATAGAAAACTATTGCGAAGACTATGACCCGGATCAGGTGCATCTTAGTCTCCAGCCTAATATCATTGTTTCTCAGTACTTTGGAGAGGTCACTGATAGCTGACTTTACTAATGCAATTTGTCTCTTGATTACTTTATTTCAAAAAAAATTAAAAACATGGTGGTGTTTGTTGTTATGTGCCGTCAAGTTATGATCCTATACACAACAGCTCTGAACCCTGTTCTATCCTGAGCCGATTTTATTGTCTCTGACACACCTACCCCCATTACTTCAGTCACTGAGTCAATCCATCTCATCAAAAGTGTTCCTTTCTTGCCCGGTCCCAATTATAATGTCCCTCTACAAGGACTGGTCCCTCCTCGCAATATACCCAAAATATGTTAATAACCACTTAATTGGTGAAAGTATGGGTGTTTTCTGTACTAAACATTTTCTTTTTTATTATGCTCCAATTTTTTTTTACGCTGAAATCTGAAGTAAACTGTTTGATGGTATCAATCTACTATTGAAAACTCCTGTTATTTTAATCACTTTCTTAAAAAATTGTTTGAACTCTTAAGATTAACTGTATAAGTAAGGACAAAATCATACATGAACTCATCAAGAACAGCATCTCTACAAACAAATGTTTTAGAGCCTAATAAGACATTCTGAAGTACTTGGTGCAGAAGGTCAAGGATATTCTTCAATGCAGATTGAAGCTCAACATCAAAAAGATAACGATTCTCACCACTAGGCCAATTGGCAGTACCATGATAGATGGAGAAGAGATTGTTCAGCTCCACAATCAACACTCTTGGAACAAGCAGCCAGAAAAATAAAAAGACAAATCACACTGGGAAAATCTGCTGACAAGGACCTCTCCAGAGTACTGAGAAACAAAGATGTCAGTCTAGAGATGGAGGTGTGCTTGATCCAGGCATGGTCTTTGCAATTATGTTATGCATCAGAGAGATGGACAATGACTAAGGATGACAGGAGGACTGATGCCTTTGAGTTTCAGTTCTGTAGAAGAGTCTTAAAGATGCCATGGAAAGCCAAGAAAACAAATAAGTCTGTCTTAGAGAGGGTAAATCCAAGTTTCTCCTTCGAGGCGAGGATTCTGAAGCTCCATCTCACATACTTTGAGCACGTGGTCAGGAGGGACTAGTCCTTGGAGAAGGACATCATGCTTGGAAGGGTGGAGGGATAACACAGGAGAGGAAGACCCCAGATGAAATGGATTAATAGAGTAACTAGGGCAATGGAGATTGGTGTGTCAGAGTCAGTGAGACTGGCTCAGGATGGCAAGCTTCAGAGCTGTTGTATATATGGTCGTTATGAGTTGTAGGTGCCTCAACAGCACATAACAACAACAGTAACAAGGCATTATGTTCAAAAAAGGTGGAGAGTTAGTGAAAGACCAGAAGACCTCAAACAAGGTGGATTGATGCAGTGGCTACAAAAGGCTCAAGTATATCAGAGATGATGACGATGATGTAGGAAAGGGCAGGGTTCAGATCTTTAGTTCATAGGGATTCTATGAGTCACAATCAACTAAATAGTACCTAATAAGAGCAACAACAAACTAAGGTAGTTTGTTGTTGTTGTTGTTGTTGCTGCTGTTGTTAGGTGTCATTGAGTTGATTATGACTCATAGCAAATCTATGAACAACTGATCTGAACACTGTCCTATCCTGTGTCATCTTCACCCTTCCTGACACATTAGACCACCTTGCAGCAGTCACCACGTCAATCAACCTAGGTTAGGATCTTCTTCTCCTTTGTTGACCCTATGTCATTCTGAGCATCATGTCCCACTCCAAGGACTCACCCCCTCAGCAATGTTCCTGAAGTATGTGAGGCAAGGCTTTATCATATTTGCCTCCAAAGAGCCCTCTGACTGCACTTTTCCCAGTACCTATCTGTTTATTCTTTTGCCATTTCATGGGATGTCCAGTGGTCTTCTCCAACACCACAGCTCAAAGGCAAAAATTCTTCTTCTGTCATTTATATTTATTGTTCAGCTCTCAGATTCATAGATAGTGATTGGTAAGATCATGGCCTGAATCAGATGTACCTTAGTCCTCAAACCAACATCATTACTCCTCAATAATTTTAAGAGGCTCCTAACTGCAGACTTTCCTAGTGGAATAAATCTTCTGATTTCCTGACTGCTGGTGCCAAGGGTGGTAATTGTGGATCCAAGTAAGATGAAGCTGTTGACAGTTTCAATCTTTTCTCCATCCATCATTTTGCCTACCAGTACAGTAATGAGTCTTCATTTTCCTGATATTGAGATGCAATACATATTGAAGCCTGTATTCTTTGATCTTCTACAATAAGTACTTCAAGACCTCCTCACTTTCAGCAAGCAATGTTGTGTCTTCTGCATAACACAAGTTATTGGTGAGTCTTCCTCTGATTCTGATGCCACAATCCTCTTCATAGAGTCCAGCTTCTTGAATAATTTGTTCAGCATACAGATTGGATAGGTATAGAGAGAGTATACAACCCTGACACAGTCTCTTCTTAATTTAAAACCATGCAGTGTTCTCTTGCTCTGTCCACACAACAGTCTTCTTGTCCTGGCATAAGTTTTACATGAACACTATTAATGTTAGCCACAAGTCATTATGACGCACTCAATTTAATGCCTTTGCATAATGAATAAAACACACATAGACATTTGAGGATTGAGATGGCAAGGAGACCACTGATGACTCTAAAAGAGAACCAACTGCTCCAAAGAACCATCTACAGTTGAAGAGCCTGTCCGCAATAAAAAGCAGAAATTGGAAAGAAAAATCCTGGAAGAATTAATCAAAGAAGCCACCAATCTAAGTAGCTAGTAATAAAAAATAATAAAAAAAAATCCTACACCTACTAAATGATGGCTTAGTGGGATAAGGAGTTGCACTGTCAACCCAAATGCAGTTGGTTCTAATCCACTAGCTGCCATTCAAAGGCATGGAGTTCAAATCCATTAGCTTCTTCCAAGGATAAATATGGCTAATCTACTCCCACACAATTTACTATCTCTGAAAGCCCACTGGAAAGTCAGCTATGAGTCGCTTCTGACTCGACAGCAATGAGTTAATTTGGTATATCAAACAGGCAAAACACTCATGTTTCTGAGGAAGAAAGTGCAAGGAAATAGACGATGAAAAGAACCAGATGCCTTTAGCTAAGTGGATGTGCATAAAGAATGGTAAGGAAGCATCAGTGTTGGAAAGTTAGAGGAGGAGTCCCAACCGTGGTTAAAGAAAACACAGAACACAGACAGTTCTAGTCTGGTGGCTGTGGTATTTGCCTTTCAATCAAGCATATAGACTTACTTTTCTTTTATCACTGGGATTCCTGTGGGGATTAGAAAGTGGCATGACTGTGCAGTGATTTTGACTATCCCAACCCTTCAAGCCCATTTTATAAAAGACTACAATTTTCCTTTCTTTCTCAGGGATGTCAAGATTATAGAAAAGTGAGCCTTAATCTGTTCTCTCTGAGAAGCTGGATCTGAGTCTTTGATGCAGGAGACAAACAGCATTGCCCAAGGACAAGGAGGACACTGTGAATCACAGAGAGAACCTCAAAGATTGTGCACCTTCTGAATGATCTTTATATGAAACTGAAGTGAGTGTCCTGTAACATAGCACGATTCAAACCATCAAACATTTACATCTTTCCATCTAAAAGCCAATGTTGCAATAGAAAATGAAGTAATATCTGTAAGTGAGAATTATATAGACAAATATGAAAAGAAATTCAAAGTTGGGTCTTTCTACCAAATGAGACAAATGAAGTTTCTTTCAAGTATTTTTGTTCTTCTTGAATTACTTGTTGTTTGCATGAGGTATTAATGATATTGTTCGATAATTTCCACACTCTGTCAGGTCGTCTTTCTTTGGAATGGAAACAAATCTAGATCTCTTCTAGTTAGCCAGTTGGTTGTCCTCCAGATTTCTTGGGACAACTTGGTGAGCACATCTACGGCATCATCTGTTTGGTGAAATATATCAAA